ATGTTGATACCTCTGATGACTACCCTCTCTTGACCACTCAGAGAACCCAGGAAATTTAAGCTTAACAATGATAAAGATTTACATTTAAGATTTACATCCAGGATATAATCATATATTCATGGGAAATACTGTCAAATTCACATTGAAAAAAAAACTGAACAACAGCAAAAATAAAGGAGGATATTTTGCTGAAACATCTGATGACTACCCTCTCTTGAACACTCAGGGAACCCAGGAAATCTAAGACTCTTTTTCTTAACCATATTGGTAAATAGCTGTCTACTCAGCTGTGTTCACTATTACCTAACTTACATGAGACATCCTTGATCTCTACTTCTTCTCAGGCTTTTACAGACACTGTAACTATAGTCTGCCAAACATTGTAAGCCACTGCAACGTGTTCATTATTTCTATATCTTCTCTGTCATTTCTTTCTTTTTATTTATTTTATCATACATTTTTTGTTTTTACAACTATTATTTTGATGCACAACTAGTATTTACCTTCTCATAGTGACTAGCAAGCATTAAGTCAAGTTTCCTTGATTTTTTAGCAAACGTTAGAACATAAGCATACACATTTATTGTGAATCTTCTGAACCACTTTATGCCTCCTTCCTGCTCTCTCTGAGCCATAAAGTTAAGTAGTCTGTGCTCTCAATTACCTGGATCATCTTTCCTTGCCATATATACTATGTTGAGATAAATCTAGAATCTAAAAGTTTCTACCAACCCTAAGACGTTATGAGAGGAACAATTTTTCCTTTGTTGTGGGACTTTTAGAAAAACTCTTCAAGGGATTTTCTCAGGGAACTGCTAGTTTGGCTGCTTTCTCAAGAAGCCCTTCTTTCACCCCACATCTGCCTTCCACCCTTCTTATGGAAGATCTCTCACTCTCTCCCTACCTCTCTCTTATTTTCACCCTGAATGAAGTTTCTCTCTGGGATTTATGTGGTATTTATATTAAATTTATTCATTTTTATGTGTATTAGTATTTATTTGACTATGCATATGCATCTGTCTTATTTAGGGTTTCTCATACTGGTATGGGGGCCAGCCACAATTAGCTAAGTATGAGCAGGTCACCCAAAGGAATTTCTTTACTTCCAACCATTATCACCTACCAGAGTAGAACTTGGCCAACCATAAATGTAATAAAGAGGCCTGAGTCTCAGTAGTTTGCCCTGAGGCAATACCTGGTTGTAGGAGGAACCACAAGTTGAGATTACCCTACCATTGTCCAATAACAGACCATCCAAAGGAGATGCCTAACATTCCAATACCCATAGACAAATGTCAGCCAATCAGGGCTTCTGGACATCCGAGATTCCCTCATCCCCACCTTTACTACTATAAAAACCCAATTGTAACTGAGCTTGGGGCTCTCTGGTTATTCTAATATGTTGGACATGCAGAAAGACTGACTTTGCAAACTTGATTAAAATAAAAGCTCTTTGTTTTTACATATGGGACTTGGTCTCCTTGTTAGTTTTTGTGAAGACTTGACAGATTTGGGCACAACACTGTGAAGAGACACAATGACTGATCAAAAATACCAAAATATGTACAAGTCAAGCAACTAAGAATTTCACCTTACCTGTGCTGACCACTACAGGTTAGGGCCTTATGAACCTTGTTTTGTCTATGCTGCCCATTATGATAAGTATGATCACCCTACCTTTGGTGATTCAGTGCAACCACATGGTTCCTGCTTGCTTGGGAGCCCAATTAAACCCACTGCATTTAACTCATTCAAGACAATTTTTTTTTTTATCAGGAACTGGAGTACTGTTGTGATAGGTCTGACCATGTTTTTGTTTGTAGAAATTTGGGCTTTGGTATTCTGGGTAAGGAAAGCAGTAGAATGTTTAAGCTCTGCATTAATGAGCCATATTAGTAGGGGAATGGAAGACAATGGTACTAATAATGATTTGAACTAATGACGGTTGGCTAAAGATGTTTCAAAGGAGAAGAATTTTAGTATATTGCTTAGAAATCATTCTTGTAATATTTTGGTGAAGAATGTTGCTGCCTTTTACTTTTGTCTGAAAATTTTACCTGAGGCTAAGGTGAAAAGGTTTTGCATTAATTCCTTCAGCAGGGGAAATCTCAAAACAGCCTGTTATAAAAATTTTTTATTTACATTACCAGTGTAATGAAGATATATAAGGAAAAGGGGCAAGCTGAGCAAAGAAAAACATTTGTGAAGAAATGGAGCACCAGAAAGAGGAATGGAGTTAACCTCTGTATTCAAAGAGATAAACAGATTAAGAAATGGAATAAAGGAAGTCATGAGTCAGAGAAAGATCCCACCCAACTATGTTTTTAACTTGTGAAAAGGAATTAAAGGAAGGCTTGGAGCTTGGTCTGGTAGTGCATGCCTTTAATCCCAGCACTAAGAAGGTAGAGGCTAGTGGGTCTCTGAGACAGTCTGTTAAATGTAGTTTCATCAGTAAAAGAAAGCATAAAGTATGTGAAGATATACTTGAACAATGGGTCCATGTCCTAGGCCCAGTATACAGCAGAACTTGGTAGCTTTAGCCAAGTGAGTCTTGAGTTAGGGATTAAAAAAAGGGGGGGGGGGGTGAACTCTTTCTTCATGTCTAAGAAAAGCCCCTGAGTGGAGGCATGTGTCAGGAAGGGTGTCCCTTGATAAAGTGGCCATTGTGAAATTGAGACTTAGGTTCCTTTGGATAACCTAAGATGTTGGAGATTCCCAATCCATGAGATAGCTGCTGAGGAAAGGGAGTGGAAACAACCCAAGAGAGCAAAATACGTTGTAGTCAACAGTGGTGAAATAAGTTGGAAATTAAAGAATATTTTTGGCATAAAACATGTAGATGTAGAGTTCAGTGTTTGCCCAGCTGTTTTTTACCTTGCTTTAACCAGTATTTCCTCACTATGCTCCCTTCCCTGTGTTTTGGAATGGTAATGTATATCCTATATGTTGGAAATATGTGATCTGCTTTTTATTTTGATTTTACAGGAGATTACAGTTAGGAGATTATATGAATCTCAGAAAAGACATGAACTTTGGGATTTTAAATAAGTTTGAGACTGAATTGTGAAGCTATAAAAACTTTTAAAGTTGAACTGAATGAATTTTTTAATTATGATATGACCTTTGGGAGCCAGAAAGTGGAATGTGCTAGTTTGAAAGAAGAATGACCCCCATAGGGAATAGCACTATTAGGAGTTTCGGCCTTGTTGGAAGAAGTGTATCATTGTGGAGGCAGGATTTTAAGTCTCGTATGTGTTCAAGATACTGCCCAGTGACACAGACCACTTCCTGTTGCCTATAAGATGTAAAACACCCACCTACCTTTTATTACCATGCATACCTGCATGTCACCGTGTCATGTCATCATGATAATGGACTAAATCTCTGAAACTGTGAGTCGCTCCAATTAAAAATTTTTCTTTATAAGAGTGTCCATGGTCATGCTATATCACCACTGCAATAAAACCCCAGTTAAGGCAGCTTGTAAATATCTGTCATCAAAATAAACTCTTCATTCTGATAGAGGTAAGGACTAAAGAGAAAGGCTGATAGTGTCACACAGGTCTATGGGAAAATAATTCTTATTTTAATTGTTCATCCTCTTTATGATGGTCATTAGGGAAAACATCATGTTTTCCATTTTCATGATAATGCTAGGTTTCAAATATCATACCATGGGACAATCAATGATACAGATTCCCAAGAAAGCATCTCTAAGCAGATTGGTGCATGTTTTACTTAAAGATTTAAGAATAATAAGTTTCTGCTGTTTCTTCTTCACAAAATAATACCTTGGGCTTTTTCACCTCAGAGGGAACATTTTGTGACACTTTCAAATCTCCCATAAGGTGGGAGAGAAACACATTGTGGTGAAAACTGAATTGCTTCCCTGTCTTTGTATGGTTCATTCAGTCTCCTGTGATAGTCTCAGACAACCAGTTCCAAGGGGGATATAACAACAGATATCTATGAGTATTTTCCCAATATGCCATCTATCTGCTCTTGTAGTTGTCAATAAAAAATATTGATACTATAATGGTGAAGTCAGCTGGCATTTCAGGAACAGAATTTTTCTCTCTGATGACTTAAAATATAAAAAAGCAAAAAATTAGGAAACAACATTCCTCAAGACCCAGTAATACCACTTTTGTGTATATATCTCAAGGATTCTCAATAGTGCCATGAGGACATGTACTCAGCTATGTTCATAACAGCATTGTTTGTCATAGCCAGAGGTAGAATGCTTGACTTTTATGCATGAGGCACTAAATTTGAATGTAAACACTATACCAAAGAAAGAAACAAGAAAAGAGTAACAGCACACACATGTACAAATACACAGACAAATAACAAGAAAACGAATATACTTTGATTTCTTAATAATAAATTCTACTCATAATTTCCCTACGAGAATGTTATTCTTTTTATGCAATTGTATTATTTTTTTATTCTATTACATTTAGAACATAAAGAATAACCATAAAATAAAGTATCTTGAAGACATAAGAACAGAAATTAGAGAAAACTTACTAGGATAATTTTGATTCCTCTCAGTTCTGTGGTTAAAAAAGATGGTTTAATGTGATGAAGCAGTTGTGGTGGAAAACTAATTTCGATGGGTGTTGTTATGGATTCTTTAAATGAAATTATCTCCCTTCAGATGTATGGCCTGTTTTAAAAGCAAGACCTTGTGATGAGGTGGATTGCTTTATATCCTTATCTTTAAATACTTGGAAGATCAATACACATTCTTGAAATGTGATTTGAATGGTGACTTTTGTAAAGAAGGGAGGATCATCTAACTTTCTTTTGTACATCAAGTAAATGTATTTTCAAACACAGACATGCCATAGGGAGTATGCTGAACAGACACAAAACATATTTAAGTGTGGTTGGATTGCTTTTATTATTTGACTTGTTTTATCCCATTGTAGATGCAAACTGTTCACAGTGAATATTAATAAAGTGACACAAAAAGACAAAGGACACACCAATTTGTTTTTAAAAGAACCAGTATTTATTAAGAAATTATGTGCTGAATGTGCCTACATCCTGTAGGGATGGTCTCTCCCTTTTCCACTGCACAAGACAATAGCCAAGAGATTTTGGAAAATACAATGCTTGGGAATAGAGGATTCTGAGGACTAGGGAATGAGATGAAGGGGTGTGTGCACTAACTGAAATTTTGGGATCCCAGGACAAGACAGTCTTTTTCTTATTAGTCTACTTCTCATCTTTCCAAATACTGAAAACTGTCCGCAGAATTTCACAGTCAGTCTCAAGATGTGATTATTGGATCATTTCAGCTCACTAGTGCCAAACATGCTCACAGGTCAAACCAATGTCCTTAAATGGTTGCCTCACTTCTGAAATAAGGGCATTCTTTTATTAATAAAATGGTGCTTATAAAGGGCAGAAATATAGCTTTTCCAAATAGTTTTCCTCATAGTCTAAAGTACCTTAAACTATAAATAGAAAATAAATTATAGAAACTAGCATACAATGTATATTCTCCATATGACATTGCTGGAAACAAGCTTTAAATGTAGAATTTCAATACTATGTGACTATGTGATCAACAATGACACATGCTAATCATAAAAATAGCTTTTACAAATATACATTTGTATACAGTGTTTCTCTCACCATTCATTTATGTTCTTCACACCTTAAGACATACATAATTAAAATGAGGGAAAACACATTTACAATGTAAATCATAAAATGACAGTTTTACAGCTTTAACACATAAGAAATGGTATGTCTAAAAGTGAACAGTATGGTCCATATGACTGGGGCTTTATATAAACTGAATTGGAGGTGCTGCTGTTCAGAATGAAACCACCTTTGACATTTCTCCGCATGTCACAGCCTCTTTTTCTTCTTTTACAATATTGTATACAACTTCAGATCACTTTATCTGTAGAAACTGAAAAGAGAAAAAAATACTTGAAAAAGGCAGACATTTGTGGTTTGTTGTTTTAGCATGTGGGTATACAAATTATATCTGAGGAGTAAATAAAGAAAAAACTAAAGCAGTAACTATGACTTTAGATCATATATGTTTTAAAACAGTATTTTGTTGATTCTTTCAGATTGATCATATCAACCCCTATGCCTCCTGTCACTCCTCCAAGAAGGACTACCCCCATACTACTTTTCTGCCTGCATGTGTTCTTTTCTTTCCTTTTTCCTTCCTTCCTTCCTTCCTTCCTGCCTTCCTGCCTTCCTGCCTTTCCTTCTTTTTTTTTTTTTTCGAGACAGGGTTTCTCTGTGGTTTTGGAGCCTGTCCTGGAACTCGCTCTTGTAGACCAGGCTGGTCTCGAACTCACAGAGATCCGCCTGCCTCTGCCTCCCAAGTGCTGGGATTAAAGGCATGCGCCACCACCACCCGGCTCCTTTCCTTCTTTTGTGTAGATCCTTTCACATCTACTTTGTGCTGCCCATATACTGGTGAGTATGAAGCCATTCACAGAAGCATCAAAGATACAAATGATAAGAACACAGTAATCAAGAAACATTGATTCGAAGCGATCTAAAAGCCTTTATTGGTGCCGCATATATAAATGCACATCATGAAATCCTTGTCAGTGTGTGAGACTGAATTGTCCTTTGTAACATATAGACTCAAAGATTAGTGTATTAGGATACTGTTAATGTATAAGCAGTGTTCAGCGAGTCCAGTTTTATCCCATGCTTTTTCAGACCCAGGCCAGCTGGTCTTGGTGAGTTCCCGATAGTACATCCCCATTGTCTCAGTGTGTGGGTGCACCCCTCGTGGTCCGGAGTTCCTTGCTCGTGCTCTCTCTCCTTTTGCTCCTGATTTGGACCATGGGATTTCAATCGCTCTTAGGGTTGATGAGGGAGGGGGACTTGATCGGGGGAGGGGGAGGGAAACGGGAGGCGGTGGCGGGGAGGAGGCAGAAATCTTTAATAAATAAATAAAAATAAATAAATAAAATTATATATATATATATATATATATATATGCAGTGTGATTAACTTCATCCAAAATAAATTGTGTGGAACATCAGAAATGGCACAATTGGAAAAAAGTGTTATAAAATTTATGGACACATTGTCTTAGTTAGTGACTCATTCTGAAGATATATCTGGGCTCTGTATAATTTCATACTTAAAAAACGTCTCAGTGTAGTTATTTAGGAGGACTTACTGAAACTTAATAGAGTATAAACTTAAACAGTTTTAAAATTAAAACTTAAATTGTTTTAAAATTAAATAGATCTCCTAATTTTAATTTAAAATTTTTGTATTAACAACTGAATTGAATTGCCTAATATATAATTATGCTTAATTTTATATAATTTTATAATTATGGTTAATGGTTCAATACAAATTTATTATTGTTAAATGTTGAGGTGTTCCAAATGTTCCTTCATTTATTACATACTAATTTCAAAACAATCATAAATTACATCGATTTTACAATATTTTTCAAAACAAAGGGAACCAAATTAAACAAAAAAAAAATTAGACCTGCTGTTCTCCCAAAATCTCCAAAGATCTTTGATGGAAAAATTATATATGTGCCAACAATAAGGACAAGACTAAATTTGGCACTTAAGTGATACTAAGTGCCTGGATGTGTTCAGAGGCCGATTTGTCTTGCACACAGTCATCTTTAAACTAAACTCAGTGGACCTAGGTAGCAATTTCTCTTTGTCATCCTGCTCATCCTTCACGCTAATGAATACAACAAGAAAAGTAATGCCAGCCCTGTGAGAGGCGATTACATATAAAATGTTTATTAGACCATAAATGATACTGCTAATAATTTTATATTAAGAAAAATGCTGTCAAAGTTTTTTTCCATAAATATTTAATGTAGTGTAATTGTAATGATTGTTCTGTCTCTGTAGAGACAAGCCACGCCCACTCCCATCCTGCTTGCAGCCTCAGAGCCCCGCTTTCTCTCTTCCTGTCCCCTCTCTCGGAAAGGCAGCCTCTCTCCCTCTCTCCTTCTCCCCCCCCCCTTTCTTCCCCTTCTCCCCTTTTTGCTTCCCCTCCACAATCCACATAATAAATGTCTAACTTTACTCTGTATCTCTGTATGGTATGTTTATCCATCTCTCTTCCCCACTGGCCACAGTCACATGGAGAGCTACTGCGTGGTCTTATGCACTGTCCCTGCTTGGGACTGGCTGCTTTTGGACCCGGCAGCTTGCAGCAAACCTATCTGCATGGTGTGCCTATTTGTCTGCCCCAGGGACGCTGAGGGGAAAAGTCACCTTTGGAGACCTGCTGCATGGTGAGCCCAGGACTGGCTGCTCTCGGACCGCTGCCCTCTCTGCTCTCAAGACCCGCAGCAAATCCATTACAGTAATGGTCTGGTGAATTTTTATTTAGAATGTCCATTGAAAACCTGATTGAGTCACAGGGCTTCAGGTTATTTTGTTGTTGTTATTGTTGTTTTATGGGTTTTTTTTCTTATTACTGAATTCTTACTATGGCTATCATGTTGAAAGTCTAAAGAAGGTAGGACATACTAAAATATTTAATATATTAGGTATTAGGAACTTTTTCATTAAAAAAAAACAGACTGTCAAAACAGACAAATAAAGTACCTGTAAATAAGAAACCAAATATTTTATATTACAAATTATATTTACAAGGTTTGGGTGCCAAATTACTATTCAAAGACTCTTACAAATGCTTTGTGGATCTTGATGCATTTATATGTATTATCTTAAAATAATGTATTTCAATTTTGATTTTCAACTCTAGTATATCTTATGTAACTAAAATTAAACAAGTGTTAATAAAACTTGCATCTGCAGAAAACAACTATCCAGGAATATGACACGAATGCATTTTGATACTATCTTTATGTCTTTATATAAAATATATATTTAATTATCTCCTTTTATTTCTAATTGCTCAATCTATAGCATATGTATCTTAAACATGTATTTAAAAATTAAAACATTCATTATTTATTCTTAATCTAATTCTAGGATGTACTCATGTAATAGGAGGAATCAATTATGGTATAAAACCACAATATTTTGAACTCATGATTCAAAATTATATACTATTGTTTGTGTGGACTAAAGGAAGTTTTGTACATAATCTGTAAGTAAATACCAAAATGAGAAATTACCATTTTGGAAGAAATACCTTAAACAATGTCAGTTAACCCCCAGATGAATGCTATTATGTGAAAATCAAGCACTGTAGTATTAGAAGCTGATTGATGGAGGAAGGTCATTGGCTAATAAAGAAACTGCCTTGGCCCATTTTATTGGTTAGAACATAGGTGGGTGGAGTAAACAGAACAGAATGCTGGGAGGAAGAGGAAGTGAGCTCAGACTCAACAGCTCTACTCTCTGGAGAAGAGGCCATGCTCCCTTCTCCCAGACAGACGCACGCTATGAAGCAAGCCGCCAGGTCAGACATGCTGAATCTTTCCCGGTAAGACCAGTGCTACACAGTTTATTAGAGATGGGTTGATTGGGATATCAGAATTAGCCAGTAAGGGCTAGAGCTAATGGGCCAAGCAGTGTTTAAAAGAATACAGTGTCTGTGTAATTATTTCGAGGCGTAAGCTAGCAGGTGGCCGGGGTGCTGGGGACGCAGCCCCGCAGCTCCAATTACTACTACAGCTGATTGGTAAAAACTGCATGCAGGAGGGAGCTAGTAAAGCTGAAATGGCTGCAATCACCCTCTTGTCATAGAGTCTTAATTATTTTCTTACTACAGATGGAAAATGCTGTAATTAATGTTGTAGCTGTTTTGTAAAGTTTCCTTTGACTGTATTTTTTCATATTAAATTCTGAGATATCACTTTGATTTAGAATATTTGCATACTGTCCTGCACATCTGGCAATTATTCACTTTATTAAAAAGGAAAACACCAGGTTGTAGACTGCTATTCATTCTCTCTTATGCTTTTCATACCTTTCTTTATTTCCTCCTTTGTTCTTTAATTATAAATGATCTTGTAAAATGATGACTGTAGGGGGAAGAAAAGAGGAAAAGAGGTCTTGAAAACAATATATTGAAATCTTTCCAGAAATTTATAAAGTCTATCATAAGTATAAAATAAAAGCTTTATTAACTTTACTTTGTGTTGTGCTGTTATCAGATATATAGAAACATGACTTGAATATAATTTTTTTCATTAAATAATGGAAAAATTATTCTCAAAGATTTTATAGAAATTCAAATTTGAGAAAGGCTTCCTGTTGATTTCTAATATCCTAGAGAGAAAGGAATAAGCTGTGACATTCTAGATGCCTTCTTTTCCTTCAGGTAAATGGCCATTTGTGAAATTCATTTGTTTAGTATAATATAAAACTAATTGTGTTCTCTTGAATAGTAGGTAATTTATCTTCTTGCTGTATGGAATCTTGAATGCTTTTAAAACAAATTTGCTTGATGATAAATGTTATTTTTTCCAACTCTCATTTGCTTTTATTTCTGAAAATGACACAGGAAATCACTCTAACAAGACTGTATTATTCTTCTTCTGTTCTACTAAGATGAAGAAAACAGCATAAACCACAAACCAAGTTTGTTTACTTTTAAGCCCCATGTATTCACGTTTGTTAAAATGAAGCAATACCGTAAAATTGGAAAAACTACAACTTACATAAAGTTTTACCACAAAAGAAATAATACTTTAAAATACAGTTTATGAATTATCATTTATGAGAAATGTTTATCTTTCTAAATTGTGATGTGTAACAATCAGATATTTTATATTGTCTTTGCAGTATCCTTAAAGGCAAAAAAATAAGAAAAATTGTATAATATTGACACACACACACACACATATATATATATGTATATATATATGTACGTTATCAACACTGTACACAAGAGTAGGCTATGAAATTTATCACAAAGGGCAGTGGGATTGTAGGAATTTGAGACTGACTAAAATATAACCAATGATTATTAAATCAGGGAAATGAAGAGTGTGTCAATTAGAAAATCCAGAGAGTCTTGGAGGAAAGTTTAGTTGTGTTCATCAAACAACTGTCCACAAATATATCTTACTATTAGACATGAGCCTGGCCTCTGATAGGCATGCTACTACAGATAGATACATCGGCAACCCAAGTATATTTAACCACAGCCAAATCTGTTTTTTTTTTAATTTATTTATTTATTAAGGATTTCTGCCTAGTCCCCACAACCGCTTCCCATTTCCCTCCCCCTCCCCCGATCAAGTCCCCCCCCCCTCATCTGCACGAAGAGCAATCAGGGTCCCCAAATCTGTTTTAAATCCATGTTCTCCAATAAAAACATCTAACCCTAGTGTCTAAATTTTACCAATGGGAAGAGAATGCTCAGGACAGAGACCAGGCAGATTTAGCTATCAATATGACAGAAAAATTAGAATCAGACCTTCTGAATTTTATACCACTCAGTATTAGTTTATACTACTGTGATATCTCTGAATAAAATCCACTTATTAAAAGAAAGATTTATCAGAAATGACTTTTAAAAATCTGATGAACTGTACATGATTGGTTGGCTCTTCTAAAGTAACTTGCTTTTGAATTTGCAGCAAGAACGAAATATCACAGGAGAATGGTATGATTGAGTATTTGGGTAAGCACAGGCTCACGTCTAATACTAAGAAATCAGTTGGTAGAACATGAGACTATTAATCTCAGGGTTGTTTGTGCCAATTTGTTGGAGGGGACTGCTTGTTTGTCCCGGCCACCCAGAACCAAAATAACCACACAGAAACCATATTATATAAACCACTGCTTGGCCAATTAGCTATAGCTTATTATTGGCTAATGCTTATAACTTAATTTAGCCCATCTCTATTAATCTCTGTATTGACATGTGACTGTGGCTTACCGGATAAAGTTTCATCTGTCTGTCTCTGGAAGGGCTACATGGTTTCTCTGCCTTCTTTCTCCCAGCATTCAGTTTAGTTTTTCCTACCTACCTCTATTCCCCTATACCTCTGCTATAGGCCCAAAGCAGTTCCTTTATTTATCAATAGTAATCACAGCATAAAAAGGGAAATTCCTCATCAGTAGACAGTTCTTGGGTGGATACAACCAAGTTTCCCACACGTGGCAGTTGAAAAGCAGAATTAAAGAGAGGGGATAGGGACAAGTTCTACTATTTAAAATAATGTCCAGTGACAGAATACTCTAATCAGACCCCACCTACTGATCACTCACTCAACTACAAACCTCTGAATGCATTTAACATTCAATGGGATTCCTATCCTTGCAATTCAAATACCTTTCAGAATCATCACAGCCTGGGGAATAAGCCTTCAGTACACTGGCCTTTTAGGGGAACATATCTTTTCAGAACTCTAATGCAATTGTTTATCAATTATATAATTGCCTGAGGTATTGATCCCTAAGTTCTCTGGATCTGTAAGACTAGTTTCAGACTCCGGTTGGTGATAAGTAATAAGATTATAGACCTGCCAATCTGCTAGCTGATCTTGTCTGTATTTATGAACATTTGCCTTTCAGATTTCCAAATATTACTAGGAAAACATTTATAAACATGTCAGTGCATATGATTTTTTATTGAAATTGAACAGAATGAGTGAGAGATTGTATGCTATACCTTTATATAAATGAGTGAAAATGTGAAGTTCCAAAGAGTTTGAAAGATAATCAGCTGGAATTCCTGACTAAAGTCATCAGCCTGACTGCCTTCAGGAATCCTTAGCATTACTCTTGGTCATTATATCTTCTGAACATCAGAACTGTCAGATGATCTTGTTAAACTTAGATTGTTAGAGTCCTATCTATTTGTTCTCACACATGGCATTTCTTTTCTTTTTTAACTATCTTAGGTCCATCTCAGTTCTTGGGACCAGCTTGATTTCACTGTTGAAAGGCTGTCCTTTGAGAGCCTTTGAAATCCTACCTATCTGCTGACTGTTCTTTCCCTAAGACCATATCTTGGAATTATTCATTTAACTGACAGTCTTGAAAAATTAGGTAACTCCTCTTGGTAGGGCATTATCTTCATCTGAAATATTCTTAGACTCTTTCTGAACTATTTACAACTTGCTGGATTCCATAATCTCACATTCTGTCTGTGTGATAGGCTCCACTGCAAACAGGATCCACCCAGCCTCCATATTGAATGTGGGTCTTGAATTGGCACTTAAGAAATGAAAGCAACCATCTGGACAAAAGTAATAAAGGTCTTTACTTCAACAGTCTCTTGATATCTGATAGTCTCTTGATATCTTTTGATATCTGATTTTTTTCTGACTATGTAGTTTTAAATGGGACCCTGATTACTTAAAGAAACATAAAAATATGTTGCATTAGCTGTATATATTGGAAAAATTAAGTTTCCTTGAGACATTAACTGCAGTGACAAGCCATGGTCCATGATTCTTGATCAAACCTGATCCACTGCCTTTAGGGAGTTTTGTATTCCTTTTATTTTTTTCTCTATTCCACTTTCTCAATTTAATAACACCCCTCAAAAATTTATTCTTAACAATTCAGTTTTACAACCTTAGCTAATTTGTCCTGTTTAATAATTTTCAATTTTATTCAATCTTTCATCAGAAAAGTGCAACTGAGAGGCAATGGGGCTTTACATTATGGTGGTTCATAAGTAGGTATCCAAAATTATTAGTTTTGCTTGTCTGTGAATCAATGTTTTCTATAATGTCTTAGAATTTGAGTGCTTATGTTAGCATGCTTTATTTTTTCCTAAAATTAAAATGAAACAAAAATACTAACATACTAATAAATATAAGAGAAAAGAAAACATATTACTAAATTAACCTTATTTAATTCATATGGATATAAAATATAAGAAAATAAAAAACCACTGGGTTTCATGATTTATTCTTTAGTGTAGTTTATATGCTTGTCTTGTTGGAATAATATAAAGTGTTCCACATCAATTTAAATAAAATGTACTAACATATGATTATAATTACAAATGTCATATCCTTGCTGGGTATTTTTTTGGTATGTGGTCTATCATATATGATTTTTAAAAATTTCCATTAAAGTCAAACAACATCATTTCCTCTGTGTAAGCACTGCTTTTGCTAAAGATGTCATTAGCATGGTAATAGTTTTGGCATCTAGACTCACATAATCTATTTATATTTGGAGAACATTTCTTTTCATTGAAATCACAAATTATTTTCAAGTGAAAAGCAAATAGTATTTTTTATTTTGGATTCATTTTGGGAATTGTTTCTTATTTATGGAAAATGTAATGATGCCTTTTCCACTGTAACTCCAGAAATATGAAGAAATAGCATGAGAGGGTAGCTGAGCACGTAATACAGATTACCGAGTGCAGTACCCAGTGATTTAGAGCTCCTCACAAATCAAGGAGATGTCTGTATGACTGTGGCTCCATCTACTGTTAAATTTTCCATGTCAGGATTTAATTAATTCATCACTGAAATTACCTGAATTACATTGATAAGCTGTAAGTTGGGAAATGCTTGACATTATGGTTAGGGCATGGTTTGAGTATGTCCCTAAGTTTTGAGTATTGAGACACTGTGGTCAGTGAGCTGTGTGAGCTTGTATGTCTTTAGGAAATAAAATTATTAGTAGTCACTGAGGACATCCACCTGAAGGGATGTGGTAGCTCTCATGGGAGCCTGAGGTAATTCTTTCATGATTGCTGTCAGGAAAAGAGCAAGCCTACCTTTCCCAACATTACTCTAGCTGCTTTTCTCACCATGCATTCTCCTTATCATGTAGAAGGCTCTACCTATCCTACAACATCTGCCATGGGGCCTTTGACAGACCTAGGACTCTGAGAATGTGAGGCCATGCCCTAAAACTTTCAAAACTGTTAACTAGATTTGATTGTTATGCTATCTAGCACTAGATATTCCTTTATAGTGTTGGGGAAAGTATAATACACCATATAGGCATATTCAAATTTGTTTTAAACTATAAGGAATGAGGCATATCTTTGGCCAATCATTCTTCTTTGAATGTTGCATCAAAGAGCAAGGTCCTGTCT